ACCTCTACAGGATGAAGCATTGTATTTGGGATTTCAGGTATGTCGTTTGTCATTGGGGAAAAGAGCTCTGGAAGAAAGGCCAGAACCATCTGCAATGCACAGTGATGGCCCTCGATTCCTTGGGAAGAGCTCTGAGCTACCTCAGAATTCTCCGTGTTCAAATCTCATGGACTCTGCTCCAGGACCACCCAGGTTTCTGCTAAAGCACAGCTGGATTTTCTGATACTGAAGTGGCACGGAAGTACTGGGCAGAATCCTGGGGCTTCAGGGCCCACAGGGACAGGGATGACTYGGACTCGGAATTGTTCTTTGACAGCAAGGCTCGACCCTCGATTGCTGGCCCGCTTTAATTGACAGAAGAATATGGGCCAATACAAGACACCCACTCGAAGATGCCTCCGAATGACTGACGGTACCACCGAATATCATAATAATGAAAGCTGAATCCAGATCCACGGCAGGAGAGGGTCACGGAATCCCCGGYCGCTCGCAGCCCTCCGCCAGCCTCCTCCAGCCTCATCTGTGCCCAGAGCCCTGCGGAAGGAGAGCGTGCAGGGAGCGAGCACGAAGTGAGGAGGTTCTCCAGGTGTGCCGGTTCCCCCGATCCCGGCACAGTCAGAGCCGCCGCTCCGCTCCCTCCAGGAGCGATGCCCCTGAGCCCACACCGGGTTGTGCTGGGCCGGCGGGCGGACCCGGGCAGAGTCTGAACCTGTCCGTGTCCCTCTCCCGTTCCCGGCCGCTCCCGCTCTCTTTCCCCCTGCCCCCGCCCCGTGCTCGCTGCCCTCCCCGCCCGGCTCTCACCTGCCGGCCACAGGGCCAAAGCCAAGGCCAGCAGCCCCGGTCCCAACCCGGCCCACATGGTGACCGGCCCCGGCTCCGCCGCAGCCGCCCGGGAGCCGAGCGGAGCCGCGCTCGGGCCGCTGCCGCCCGGCCCCGCCTCTGCCCGCCCCCGGCACACCCAACCCGGGCCCCGGGGCCGCGGGCACAGAGCAGCGCTGCGCACACGGAGAGCGCGTTCTGCCAAAGGGGCCGTGGGCAACTCGCCCAGAAATTGGCCCTTGTAGAGAAGAATGTCACTGGGATCCTGGGCTGCCTTAGCCACAGGGATGTTTCCTGCACMTGCCTTTGCCTGACAAGGKCCCCGGGGAGCCGGTGTTAGAAAGAGAAGCTGAGAGATCTGTGTTGCCTRTSTGTCRGTTTTTGGTCCACTCTGCTGCATAGCTGCTCCAGGGTGATACTTGTTGCGCAGTAATACGTTGCAGCGTCCCCTTGCTTGACCGCCCAGATCCGCAGTGTGAATCTGTTCTCGGAGGTGTCCACTGATCCCTTAAATCGATGTTGGAAATCKTCTCCGTAGATACCACCCTCCCTGTAAATCCATTCCAGAGTGCCCCGTGGGCCCTGACGGTACCAGTACATGAAGTATTTGCTCATATCACCTCCCTTCATGATGCACTGGAAG